GATCCAGCCCATAACCTGGGCATGTGCCCTTGACTGGAGTCGAACCTGGGCTGATGCTCTGTCCACTAAACCAAACCAGCTAGGACCCAATGCAATTTCTTAACTGACATCTCTGGGTTGCTCTACCATTTCTGAGGTATGAATGGAACTGTAAACTAACTCTATGCTGCAGGTGGCCATGTAAGAGACCTGGAGAAATATTTTCCTGCTTAATTCCTGACTACATCACTGTAGTGTTGGGTGGAAAGGCAGAAGACTTCTAGCACTCACCTCTCTTGAAATCCTTCTCACTGCAGTTTCTAAATTCACCAAAATGAGGAAGGATTTATGAGGTCAAGGGGAGTTAGCTGGAGACATCATTGATTTATTTTTCAATCAAAAACATTTAATGAGGGTCAGTACTGTACTGGGAACCTGGAAAACAAGATAGTGAAGACACAGCTCAAGTAGTTTATGGTCTTGGTGGGCAGGCAGTGGTATGCTGAAAGTGGATCATACTGGCTTGTAAGGGCCACTGTTAGAAATATTGCGAGCAGATTCACATTACCTTGGTAACTTGAAACCAGCCATGATAGGAGTACTTGTATCATAGAAATTGGCAAATGCAACCAATTGGTGCCCTTTTTCATCTGGTGTTAGGCATTTACCTGCATACCACAGTGGGGATGGCCAGGTGGTCAGAGGGGTGCCGCATACTGAACTCTGCCAGCACAACAAAGATTTCCAGTAAGGGAGGCTGCCTTGAAGGTGTGGGGTTGTGTCTAGCAGAGATTTCTGCAGAGGCGGGACACCATGATCCTATTTGTCCTAGTCTCCAGCACTGTTTTCATTTTCATCTGGGAAAACCCCACAGGGTATGTGCCCGGGAAGGAGCTGCATGCGCTTCCAGCACAAGTGCACCAGAACCAGCAGAAGTCTTTCCGGGGGTGAGAAGTCTCTGAAAAAACCCACCCGCCCTGTGGAGACTGCCCACAGGCCACGTGCGCAATAACTGAAGACAAATAGAAGGAGACACTGAAGAAGAGTCAACACAACGGCTAGTTTCATTTTTTTCTTTTTACTTGAAAACTTGTTTTAACCATCAAATTTTGTAAGTTATAAACCTGTACACTGTTGGGTTTTTGTTTTTTTTTGGCTGTCTTTTTTGTTGTTTTTGTTCTTTCATTTTGTTTATTTATTTTTTATTTTTTTAGAAAAAGAACACCAGACTAATCCTGCCAACAGCAATATATGCAGAAACACTCCGTTTCCATCAGGGGCAAGATTTACTGCAAGTGTTAGCTTTCCCCTTTGCATAAGGTTTGGCGTGTGATGTGTGTGCAAGTTTAGGTGAGTGCACATGTGTGTGGAGAAATGATATGTTTTAGTCTGAATCTGAAATGGCATCGATATTAGGGACTGAGTAACTGGGCAAAACACACTCATTTAAAAAATGCCAATAAGAACATCTGCTTGAAAACAGAGAAAGCGGAATGAAAACAGTAGAACCAAAGAATGTTTACAGTACATTTTGAAATGATTAAAAAACACCATTTTCAAACCCCAAATTCTTTATGTGATTGCGTGTCGTTACCTCAGAAGGTTGCAGACCAACAGCATGGATGACTTAGAATTGTATTCGACCCCCCAAATTAAAGCATCCTGATAGGCATCAAATACAGTATCTACAAAAGCTTGGAAAATTGAAACCATTATATACAATTTTATAAACATTTTAAACACCAAAACATACATCTTTTACAAACCAGCCTGTTTGCAACAGGTAAATTTACAAGACAATCTCTCCAATACAGTGCTTAGAAAGAACTGCTTCCACTCCCCACACATTTCTCACTTCCCGAAATGCAGTAGTATGGGCTCATGAAATTGTTCAATAGTAGCAATTCAGGTATTGGTTTGCTGGAAGGGTACTACAGTACATACTAATGGGTCCAAACACGCTCCAGGTGACTATATGATTCTCTAGTACATCCTAAACATTGGAAGAAACTTATTATGGCCTTTGTGTAATATTACATACTTGTAATTATTGCTTTCATCATTACATAAGGAAAGAAAATCTTAATTCTTTTCCTCTCTCTTAGCCAATTGGCTAAGTAGTAACTGATGCCAAAGCCACCAATGGTGACTCTAAACCCTAGAATTATACAACCAGAAGCTTAAAGACACTGTGGATTTTCACCAGAATAATGTGCAGTTGAACGTTGCAGGACAAAACCCAGGGAAAACACAGAACCACCTGCTCACAGACCACACAAAACGATGATGCTGAAGAAATGCCTTTCCCAATCCCCATGCCCCATGGTTTGAAGCTAAAAAACATAAGACATAAAAGCCTAATCACTTTATCAATACCTGTGTCTTGGAAGAGCAGCAGAGGAAAGAGAAGAGATAATTATTTGGGCAACCCTTGCAAAATGAACACTAAATCTTCCTGAATTTTCTCATATGAAAGCGTTTTCTGGACCCTAAATGATTTATTTTGCTATATCTTTCCTCAATTTCCTGATTTGATTATGTAGACACAGCATTAATGGGGACAGTGGGTGGGGTGGGGGTGGGGGAGTAAATAGGAGATGGTTGACGGTATATATATATGTGTGTGTGTGTGTGTGTATATATATATACACACACACACACACACACACATAATGGGCAAACGTAGGTTTATAGTTGTATGTGAAACAGAGTTTATCCTTGTACTATTATTTATTCTTGAATTATATATTTTTCCATACAAACGACTGTTAACCTACTTTTACTCACCCCTGTATATCTTACTTGCTTCTTTCGAGGCTGTAATAGTGATTCCTAAGGGGAATCCCAGGGAAGTTCCAGGAATGCAGCATAAATTCCCTTTCCAGGCCTTCACACTGGTTCTCTGATAGGGCAAACAATTGCATGGACTTGACCTACTCATATTGCTAAGTCTTCTCCAGTGGCGCTTTGTGAATGGGCAGGATGTGAGTACATGGAAAGCTGGCATAGAATGGAACTCAGCAGCAACAAGGCGCGTACAAGACATTGAATAAACACCTACTTTATTCACCCTTTACAGCCCCAGAGCTCTGCTTCCCATGTGACAAACACCCAGTCTAACCAGAATGTGCACCATACAAGTAAAGTGCCTACAACAGGCTATGGCATTGGCTTCCAGGAGGCGGCACATACATGTGAGCAAAATGGGAAAACACTAGTTGGCTTCCATCGTATCCACGTGGTTCAGCACAGTGGCGGGAGTAGGAACAGACACCAGGACTGGTATGGGGGAAAAAAAGGAAAAACCACAATGCACCCAGTCGATCATCTTATAAACCGAGTGTCACCATAATTGATGACTAGCCTGGGTTCCATTCTGTAATTATCATTCCATCCTCATTTTAGAAAACATTCATTTGGTGAAAGCAGCATTTTGATAAATGTTCAAAGAAATGTGTGAATTCTGTAACTGTACACTCCCTAGTGGAGCTGCTAGCAAACATGAGGTCATGAGGCTTCCAAAGAAATAATCTCCACGATTTCTAGCATATTCCACAGCAAGAATGGTGGGAAGTCAGAAGGTCCAGCAGATGCCATGCCCCAGGCAGTGTAATGGTGACTGTGACATGGAAAGAATATTGGCCAAATGGATGTTCAGCTACTTAACCTCCTGTGTGAGGTTGGGCAAGTGCCTTCCCCTCTTTGGGCACGTTCCCTCTTTCATACAAATAAAAGTGTTGGACAAATCTTAAGGACCCTTCCAGATCTTCAAATCAGCAGACATCCCACCTAGTTCCATCTGACTGAAAACCATTTCATAATCTACAGGGAAGTCCAATTTTCCAAAAAAATGAAAAGCTACGTGTTCACAGGGTAATGAATAAAAACATACCATGCTTGTCTGGTATGCATTTAGTTGCAGAGCTATTCTGCAGAAAACCAGGGGAAGCTCTTCTGATGAAAGAGGTATTTTATATAGGTCAGAGCCAAGGGAGGGCACGGATTTCTTGGGTGACTTCACAACTGCATTAGGTTCTATTTATTCCTTCATTATGGTGTCAGTCAGGCATTCTCCCCGGAGGGGATGCTGTGTAAGCAATAGTGACTCACTGGCATTAATCTCCTTCTAATATTTCCTGGGGGCGAGGAATGAATTGTTGGTTTTACTTTGATGGTTTTTATGACATTGCATCATTAAAAGTGTAGCAGTGATTCCATTCTAGACCATTAGCTTGTCATTTTCTCCATGATTCTGGAAAAATGTGCTTCTTACGTAAGAAAAATACCAAAGATTTTTATCCTCCAAAGCAGCCAGGGTGAAATTCATGCATTTCAAGCCCATGGTGCAGATAATGCTTCCGTGAGTAGGTCTAAGCAAGAGACAGGCAGAGGAGAAAAGCCGAAACATTTGTGAAATGTATCCGTGGACTCAGGAAGCCTGACAATGAAAGGAATTTTTTTTTTTTTTTACTTTACAACAAACTTCAGGAACACTGACTCCTACAAAGAAGTGGATTCGACATCATTGAAACAAATAAAAATATGTCTGAGTGGGCGATACACAGACTTGGGAGGGCACAATTACACACCAATGTCATGTGTCATCAGAAACTGTGGACACAGATTTGCTCATGAAGCAGATAGTGCAAATATGCATTTACTTACCATGGCCACCACACACGCGGCCATCATCTGATTGAAGCGAAAGAGGAAAGTCACTCAACGAGTCAACGTTCAGCTTCAAGTGCTGAGTTATTGTACTTCCCGTGGGATGATTCCCCTGTCAGTTTTGCAAACTCACGGCCAAAGTCCACACGTCAGATAGAGGAGAACCCCAGGGTGTAATGAAACATTACATTTTTCAAACAGGAGTTTAGTTCCAGAAAATGATAACAAAATACTATTGTTGTGTGTGTGTTTTTTTTTTAAAAAGCACAGTTTTGCTTTAAGTTAATATAAATGGCAGTACCAAAATAAAGTTAACTGAACCGAAGTAAAATATGGCGTTTGGTGTTTCTCTGACATCATAGAGATAGAGAAACTGGAAGGTCCGCCTCGCAGGCAGAATTTTCCACGTAGTCCATAGCCTAAGACGTCCACGTTCGCGGTCCTCAAGAGCAGCCTTACTGAGTGCAAGCACGTGCTTGTACATAGGCCCAGACGCACACACACACACTATTATAATTTATACACAAACACGAATGTACTTTTCTAAAAACACAATTGCATTTATAGTGATGATGCAAACCAGTTTAGAACAACACTCAAATTGTATTTGCATTATTAAGAATTGTGATTATCTGGCTGAACACTTTGAAAGTGTTATATTTGATCCCCCGCCCCCACTAAATTTGTGAATTCTGCTTAAACCTCTAAATATCTCTCATTCTAGAGAATAAAGTACCAAAATATAACTCCCCCTCCCCCTTTTATTTCCTGATTCTCAGAAGAAAGGCCAATTTCTGCAGGAGTGTTAAAATTGTAGTTACAGCCAGGAATGTTTCATGGAAAACAGGTAATCACATTCTTTCTAATGCTTGAACAATGTTAACGTCCCCAGCCCACACAGAGGTACCCAAATATCCTCTTGTTCCTCTTCATTGTACCTTTCTCGAAGATCATAAAACCCAACTATATAATATTGGATGCTTAACACAAACAAACAAAAATAACTAAGCATACTAAACATGTTACCTAAACCTAATTTTATAGCTGAAAATTGGGCAGCTTATAAAAAAAATAAAGTTGATTTTTAAAGGCTCCAGCCCATTTTCTTGTTTGTTTAATAATATCTGTTTTTCTTTCCTTTTGCCTAAGTGACTAACTTTTCCAACAATGATGACTAGTATTTTCATTCCCTCTCCCCCACCATTGGCTGAAAAATTACATGCCTCTTTGCTCATTGTTGCCAGTTATTAATACTGTAAGGGCTGATGCTGGAATACTTTCCAGGGCACAATACTGCAAAAAGCCATACAAGACTGACGGTGTAACTTAGGGGGTGCAATGTATTCCCCCTTTAAAACCTCGGCGAGCTTTCTTGGTCATGAACGCAGGTACATACTGCAAGGGCGATCAGTCCCCTCTCAGAAACAATTTCTGAGCCTTTTCCTTTGCACCCAACTGGCTTGAAACAGCTTGACTTGTGAAGAAGGTCCCAGTGGGAAATACCTGCATTTCCTCCTCCGCTCAACACACTGCTCTGCATGGAGACACAAGCCCAGCCAGTCTCCTTCCGAACCCAACAGCGCAAAGCACCGAGGCGCGTCCCCTACACTTGGGTCTGGTGTTGAGTCTCCATAAAGGGGATGTGAAGGCTGGCGAGGCTGAGCTCCCCAACGCTCTCGTAGTCACTCATGGCTACATCGGCATCCTCAAAGCCGCAGCTGGCTGACACATCGGAGGATGAGGTGCCTCTGGAATTGTGCAAGGACAGAGACACACCGTCTGCCGGGCCCGCGGTCTCGGTGCCCTGGTTCATGTTGACGCCAAAAGTACTAAATTCACAGCCGGCAGGCGGGCCCACCAGCTCTGCTTCGTTGGGGAATGGGTGAGGTGGGAGGTACTGGCTGGGATGGAACTGGGGCCTCCTCCTGCAGTCTGGGCTTAGGGTGCCGGCCAGTGAGACAGGCTGGGAGGGTGGCAGGGCCTCGTACTGGTCCGGGAAGTCCTCCGGCAGGGGAGGGGGCAGCTGGTCCTGACTCAAGAACTCCTCTTCGTGAGGGGGCGGGTACTCGCTGTCAATGTCGTAGCCGCCCAGGTAGTAGTCGCTCTCCAGCTCCCGCGTGCTGCCCTGGTGTGCAGAGCCTCCCTCCTGGTTCTCATAGTTGGGCACCTCCTCTATGTCCGACAGGCGGGCGGCCGGCATCCAGTCAGAGGTGTCCCAGTGGTAGGCTGTGAGCAGAGAAGCCCTGATAGTTAATTTCCTCCAGGCTGGAGTTGGGGCAGGGTTTGGAAAGGAGCAGATAAGGGACCTGACATGCAACTCACATCCGAGGGACCCTAAGGAGCCAAGTCACGTGCATGCTCCTTTCAGGCTCAATCAGGGGCCAGCCCATGCTCTGGCCCTGGGGGAGCAAGGCAATGGCAGCGCTGAGAGATGGGGCTGCAGCACCTTACACCCAGCCATGCCAGGAGATGGCCAGCGAGGGCATGCTGAGGATCACAGAACCCCTACCCCATCCTCTCTTCCTATCCCTACGCCAAGTGCAGAGCCAGGCTGGCAACATGCTCCCAGAGAGATAGGCGTCAGCTGTCCTGTGGACCACAAAAGTCAGGGAGGTGTGCACGCCAATGGATGAACCGCACGCATAGGAGTAGCTGGGGGAGGGGAGATGTGGGCAGGGCTTTCACCTCCAATACCAAGCTCACAAGACACCTGGAACATGCAAAACTCAGATCAAAGAAAAATGGAGGGAGAGGAACAGGGTAAGAATGAACTCAGCAATTCAGAACACAGAAGGAAAACGTTATGCTGGGTCACAGCAGAGTCACCTCGGTTGTAGTTCTGTCCTTGATCCATGACAGACACTGTTTAAACACAAAGTGAGAGGTAAAACTGATCATCCAAGCCATGTGCAGGGGGCAAAGGAGAACATTTTAGATGACTGAAAAACATGCCTCTATTTCTCCCCACTGTTATCTAGGAAATAAAAAGACAAATCCCATCCACACCAGGCCCTAATTGTATCATGACACTAATACAAGTTACCTGATTGAAATTGATTCCCAATATATTGAATGATTTCTTAAGTGTTCCCACTCATAGTAGGTGCTCAATGAATACACGTTGCATCTAAGAATGAATTTAGCATTAATCTTGATTCTAAGTATTTGGGTACTCTTCTCTTGGAAGAGATTTTATAAAAAGAGCATCCTGTGTATTTGAAAAAATTATAAACTCGATTTTTTTTCAAAATTTTAAAATTTACCCCAATTCCTAGAGAAATATCCAGTGTCTCCCTTGAAAGCACCTGTGTGTTGCCTCCTCTATTGCTAGCTGATTAAAATCACCCCTAGTTCAGAGTAACAAGGATGCAATATTCCCAAAAGGATAACTCTTTACACAAAGAAATGCTATGGAAGAAAAAAAGTAAATACCTTCATTCTCTATAGTGTCAACTACATTGTTGACAAGCTGAATGACAGTCACTATGGATGCTTGTGGCCAGGAAAAGAAGACAGGAGGGAGGGGAAGGACAGCTTCAGGTTAGTTATGTATTTTACACATACGTTATTTTTTCTTAACAACAGCAATAGCAACAACAAAGGTGCAGCATGCAAACACCCAGAGCCTTCCCACAGTCCATCCAGTAGGCAGTGATCCAGTGGACACTGTTTTCTAGGGTCCCAGGATTCTGGGAAGAGAAGGGAAATGGCACACATCCGGGGCCATTCCTCCTGAAAGGCAGGATGGGCAGGGATTGCTGGGTCATACATTCACACTTCATGGCCCAGTGAAATCCATCTAGGAAGGCAATGGCTCATCAAGCTCAGGCTAATTTCTCATTAGCAACTCCCAGAAGCTCTAGAGGAGACCTCACTATTCCCAAAGAGAATTCTTTGTTGATCAGCCATGCCGCCACGACCAAGTGCCATGATGGAGGATAACCTTTGCAGGACTGGTGGCTTCACTCTCACACGATGCCACCATAGCCCAGAATGATCCAAGGCCCAGTTCTCTCCAGTAAAGTGTAGACAGACGTCAGCATTTGACCTCTGAAATAGTTAGAATCAGGGAAGGAGATTTCTGTACTCTTATAAAGTTGCATTAACACTGGATACCAGCAACTTGGTAAAACTAATGAGAATTCCTAGTACTGCCTGCTTTAGTCAGGACCAATCCAGGATATTAAACATGTAAGTCTGAGCGTGTGACTTTAGAGCACATAGAGCAGAGCCCATGAGAATAGTCAACTTGGCATCACTGCGGGAGCTGCTGCCTGGAGTTTGGAAACTATCGGTTCTCGGTTGCTTCTCTACAGAACACAAACCGGTCACAGCTATTCCTCTGGCTGGGGATGAGAAAAGGAATGAGCACTCAGGCAAACCTAGAGGCAGGCACCTGACCTCCTAAAAATGGTCAGAAGAAAATGCACTGTTATATAGGATGTCATCCCAGCAGCCAGATAAACTCAGGCTCTCAGGGGTGCCAGGTATTGGGGTGGAAGTGATTTTGGGTAGTGGTGGTGAAAGTGGACTATCTTATTTCCATGACTGCTATGGCCTTCGAGCTCACCTGCTCCTGTGTTTACCTGGAGGGCAAAGACAATGTTGTTTTCATTTTGTACTTCTGGGCACAAAATGTCCAGCATAGGGTTCAGCACACAGAAGAAACTCAAAAACGGTTTATGGGTTGAATGATTACATAAAGTAATAAATATTCAACTTTTGCTAATCCTACATAATAAAAGGCTAATATGCAAATCAACCGAACAGTGGAATGACAGGTCACTATGTCATGTACTGACCACCGGGGGCAGATGCTCAATGCAGGAGCTGCCCCCTGGTGGTCAGTACGCTCCCACAGGGGGAGTGCCGCTCAGCCAGAAGCCTGGCTCACGGCTGGCAAGCGCAGCGGTGGTGGCGGGAGCCTCTCCCACCACCCCAGCAGCGCTAAGGATGTCCAACTGCCAGCTTAGGCTCGCTTCCTGCAGGGAGTGGGCCTAAGCCATCAGTCGGACATCCCTCAAAGGCTCCTGGACTGTGAGAGGGTGTAGGCCAGGCCAAGGGACCCCTTCCCGAGTTCATGAATTTTGTGCACCAGGCCTCTAGTTGCTTATAAATGAGAAAATGACACAGGTAAGGCTAACTATCTCTGTGGATGACTATTTGAAATTATTCTCAGTTCACCACTCTGGCTGTATTAAGACCATTTCTGCTACGAGGAGCATAACCCATCTTCCAAAGCTGGTTCCTTAGCTCTGGAAACCCAGTCCAGCAACCTCTTCATTAACGTAAGTTCACAAGAGGCAGAGGTAAATGCTTTGGAGTGACAAGGAGGTCCATGAACTACATGGAATTGCATGCAACTTCTGGGTGTATGTGCATTTTTCTAAGGAGCTGATGCATAGTATTCAATAAATTCTGCAAAGGCCCTTGACCCCAAATGATCATAAGGGGGTTCAACTGAATGAAGATGTCACTTCTATGGGAAGGAGTTTCTATGGGAAGGTCTTGCTTCTTAACTAATTTCTAATAAAATGGAGGTTGGATGTATAGTGAAGAGATAATGATTAGTAAAATTTAAAAAACACACACAAATAAATTACACTGTTTGCTAGTGGTTATCATTTGGGATGAGGCAGTTCCATCATGAACCAAATCAAAGAGAACGCATTACTGGAGGCCCAGGGGAACCTTGACAACCCCTGATGCAGATCCCCAGGCCTGCTCATAGTTGCAGCTCAATAGATGCTCCTTCAGCAGTGAGGCCCAACAATGGAGCCAAACAGAAAACTGGTGAACACGTGCAAACGCCCAGGATCAGGTCAAGAACCCAAACTGGTCACATCCCCTTCCTCTCAACCACTGATGCCAGCACAGGAAGCGGAAGCCACCCCGGGGAGACAGATCCATGACTTCTTACCATTATCGTCACCAGAATCCGACTGGAAGGAGCTCAGGGACTGCACTTCGGAGTTGCTGCCTTTGTTGCTGCCTGCAAAGCAGGTCACTTCTCCCGGGTCATCAACTCCTTTGTCTTGGTGGACAGTGAGAGAACAAGCAGAAATGACACTGGTTACCTCGTGCGTACTTCCAGCCCGGCCACCCCCGGAGTTCACTCCTCGGAGTTCTTTCATTTGCTCAGAGAAAATAATTTAGCTCCACAGCAGAGAATTGATTGTGCCACTGGGGGCAAAGGTCTGTCTGTCAATCAAGTGATTTACATTATGGATTCAAACCCTTAACCCTTGGTAAATGAGCTTCCAAAGAGCTGACAGCCCAAAGTAGCTGCTCCCTCCTCAAAGGGAAGCCTAACTGAAGAGTGAACCGGGATGAAGTGTCGGGGCTGCTCTCTGCCATTCAGAGTTAATTTAAATCATTTACATGAACCCATGTGGTGTCAACACCGGGTTAAATGAGATTGCTTTTAAAATAGGGGTATACATATTTTATAGGCAAGAATGCCTTTGCATTATCCTGACTTCCATCTCTGGGAGCGAGTGGAGTTCTCAGCACTGCCTTCTAGAGGGCAGTGTCGCATCAGCTTTGGGAATGACCATGTTCTGCACTCAGGTAGGAGGGCAGCTGGCAGTGTAGAGGTGCCCTCATCCACACACTTCCTCCTTTGCCATACAAAGACAGACTGAACTAACACCCTCCCTCCCTCCCTCCCTCCCTCCCCAGGGGTACCTTCTTATTTGATGGACTAAGGAAAACAATAAAAACAACCCATACTTTGAAACTGTCAGTGAAAAATGAATTGGTGACCTGGAGATTGTCTCGCCAGCTAACTGCCTTGCTTAACAAAGAAAGAAATGTATTCAATAAAAACCCAATAATACTTCGGGGGGGGGGGGCGGGCGGAATGTGAGTTTTGGCCTGAGGTGGATTCTGGAAATAAAGCTGTCACATTACGAAGCGGGTGGAGGGAAATGACCACCAGGAAAAGCTTCAAATCACCCTGTAACATGATGATGGCATGATGGTATGAAGAGATGGAGACCCGTGACTCAGGGAAAAGTTGCTCCTGCTCATGGCTGGGGAAATCCCTGATTCTCCCACAAAGGGTGATGGCAGTAGCGGGCAGCACGGTGGCTCTGTCCCTGCTGTCAGAAGCTGAAGACACAGCAAAATGATGAGCTAGCTAAACAACTCATCTGAGTGGAGAGAGACGCCCGCCAGGGAGAAATTCACCTCCCAACAGCCACACCACAGACAATACGAAGATGTGCCTTTGAAAAGCATGAAGTGGGCACCAGGCTTAGCCCTGAACACAAGGGAAAGAATGACAAATGATCTACCCTGGTGAATATAGTGCTGTGCATAAAACTGCTCTCTGCATGTTTCCATTTATTCAAACCCCGCTTTTTCATTGTTAAAGAAAAATGAGCCTTTCCTTTATCTAGTGCAAGCATGTCAAACTTGCGGCCCGCATGCTTCATTTATTTGGCCCGTGTTAGCCTTTGAGTTTGACATGCTTGATCTAGTGGCTTGGCAAGTTTAACTTTACAGATGATTTTGGAGAGAATATATTTATGGTAAAAAGTCCACCAAAGACATCAACTTAAAGTATAAATGTGTCTCCAGAAAACCAGAGTCAGTAGATTTAGAACAGTTGGGGCAGCACTAGAATAGAACAGAGGCCCTCCTCCTCTAGCAAGGGATGCTCGCTCTTTTACATCCCTCTCCCTCCTTCCTGCTATAGCTTCCAAGGGCAGTGTTGGTGAGACCACAGGCTCTGAACTCTGGGGTACCAGGTTTGAATTGTTACCTCCCCCTCTTGCTAGCTACTTTCCGTTAGGCAAGTTATTTAGATTTAAGATGATCGCCACACTGCAGTGATGGTTTTTATTTTTAATCCTCATCCAAGGTTGTGTGTTTTTTAAAATTGATTTAAGGGGAGGGGGGAGAGAGAGAGAGAGAGAGAGAGAGAGAGAGAGAGAAGAAAGAAACATCAGTCAGCTCTTTGTCCCAACTGGGGATCAAACCTATAACCTAGGTATATGACCTGACCAGGAATCGAACCCACAACCTTTTGGTGTATGGGACCATGCTCTAACCAACTGAGCCACCTGGCCAGGGCTGCAGTGATGGCTTTTTATGTTTATCTGATATCTGTTTTCTCACCAAATCTCTTTGTCTTGAACCTTTGCCTTCTGGATTCTGTCTTGGTAACTCACCGAAATGCTCTTGAGATCATTAAGATCTTCTAAACGCTGAGTGCAATTCAGATTTTAGCCTGTGTCCTCCTTGACAGTTTTACAGTACTCAGCCCTGCAGACCTTATTGATATCGTTGGCTTCTGCATGGCTGCCCCTTCCTTTTTTCTGTGCTCTCTTTGTTGAGACACGTTTGTCTCCCTTCCTGGCCTTTCCCCTCTATCCATCTCCTACATGTTGGCATCTCCACCGTTCTTTTGCAGGCCCAGCTCAACCATCCTCTCTGCTCCTGCTCCCTCAGGGAGCTCACCCTCCTAGAGGTTCAACCCTCCTTCATGCAGGAGTCCACCTCCAGCCTCACCTATCTCCTGAACAACAGAGCCAGACACCCCTCGTGTGTCCTTTCCCCTGGTCCAGATGCTCACTGCTTCTGGAAGGCCCTCTCCAATAGGTTCCTACCAAAGTCTTACGCATGCTCAACAACACCAGTAGGCATGCCCCTTTCCTCCAGGAGTACGCCCAGTGTCTCCTCAGATGCATATGCTCTCTAGCTTCATTTGAAACCGTCTTTTCTCCCTACCTTCTACCCCAACACACATCATAGTACACCCAGGGTGTCCCTGCTACTCAAATAGAAAGCTATTTGGCCTGATGAAAAGTCACAGGTTACCATAGAGCTTGTCTTAGTTTCATCCTGACTGATGTTAGGGTAGGGGAAAGCATCACCAGCCCTCACCCAGATGTTCACAAACACCATCTCTACTTTCTTCTTTCATTGGTCCTATTTAGTCTCTTCTCCAAGGAATAGAGCCATTTTTTAAAAATATAAATTAGATTATGGCACTCAGCTGCTTCAAAACCCAAACTAGGCTTGAAGTTAAAATGCACCCACGCCCTCCGGTGGTCACCAAGTTCCAACTACATTGATCTCCTTCATGTTCTTCAACATGCCCAGGGCTTTCCCTCCCCGAGGCCTTTGAACCTGTGGCTCTTCCCTTTGCCTAGAATACTGCTGCTGCATGAGGCCGAAGGGGTGGGAAACACCACCATCTGGACCAGACCTCTCTTCCTGCCTTTGGTTCACTGTCTTGTTTCATAGACCCTGCATTCCAGTCAAATGGAATGACTTGCTTTCTTTCTGGTCATGTGGAATGTCCTCCTTTCTCCAGATCTATAATCCACCAGGATCCAACTCAAAGGCCTCTGCTCTTCTCAAGTCTTCACTCTGTAAGACCGGAAACACTCTCTTCCTCTGACCCTCCAGAGCGCACTCTCTGGGCATCACTCCTGTAGCTACACTGCTTGCTTTCCCGCCAGTGGTGCGCTTCTGTGAGAAGAGCATGGGCTTTAGGGTTTGGCAGCCCTGTACTGCAGTCCCTCTCATTAGCTTTTAGACTCTCACTAGCCTTGTGACCATGGGCATCTTACGATGCTCTCTGAGCCTCATTTTCCCCATCTGTAAATGGGGATAAGAACTAGACCAGTTTTTGAGGGTTGCTCTGTGAACACAATATCAGAACATGTCATAACGAGTGCGTGTCTCTGCGGGTTCTCTCTCCCTCCCCAAACCCCCTTCTCAAGTGCCCACACACCTGTGGCTTCTCGTGACCGCCAGTGGACTAGATAATAGATAATAGATAATAGATAATAGATAATAGATAATAGATAATAGATATTAGATAATAGATAATGATGCATAACTTCCTACTCACTCTCAGTCCCCGCATCCCAGCCATTCTTCCGGATGGAATCGCAGTCCGAGCGGCAGGGCGACACGGCGGGCAGGTTGGGGGCCACGCTGCACACGACCACACCCCGTCTGGCCGTCAGGATGCGCGGTGACTCGGGGTGGAAGGTGGTCATCTCCTGGTGCTCGCCCCCCAGCCCGTCCACGATCTTGTCCAGGTTGCTCCTGGAGTCGCTCTGGAAGCAGGGGGTGTAGGCCATGGGGCGCACGGGCACCTGCGGGGGCCCCACCTCCTGGTAGAGGTTGCGGCCGTCCCCTCCGCCCCGCAGGTTCCGGAAGGGAACCCCGTTGCTCTTGTGGAGCAGCGCGGCCGTGGCGGGGTCCTGCACCAGCGTGATGTTGTTGCGGGAGTAGTGCTTGCGGAAGACCTTCTTGCGGAAGACGATGAACAGGACCACCAGGATGAAGATGACGAAGAGGACCACGGCGATGCCGATGAGCTCCTCCTTGCCCACGTAGGCGTGGCCGGCCTGGATGTTGGGCACCACCACGGGGCGCAGCCCGCAGTGCGGGCCCACGAAGCCCGGCGTGCAGTTGCACAGGAAGGTGCCGAACACGTTGATGCAGGAGCCGCCGTTCTCGCACTCCTCCCGCTCGCACTCGTTGATGTCCTCTTCACACCTGCGGGGCCAAACACACACAAGCCCCCTCTCCAGCCGCGGACCTGACCACGCAGGCTCCGGCCCTGGAGCGCCATTGAAAGCTGGTGTCTTAAAAAGAAAGGACCGCGTAAAGGGTGTGATAGTGTGTGCGGGAGGTGGCCTGCATCATCAGCATGCATTAAGGTATTTCTCTCCCCAATCTCTCCCAGGTAGTCTGACCCTACCCTGGCGGGGGCAAAATAAAGGCTGTTTTGGGAGAGAAGGAGCAAAAAGAGAAAGAAAGGATGCTGTGGACGAGGTACTGGTTTCCAAATTCTTGGGGCCAGACACATTTCAGAATTTCAATTTTGCAATTTTAGAAATGACATATAGTACTTATCTTTTATAGTATGTAACATACCCACCCCACCCCAGAAACAGGCATAGAACCCCAAATCAAATACTGGTACACCAGTGTTTCCACAGTAAAACATATAGATATTTACACTAAATGAAAGAAATAAAGACCAGAAATAGTTGTATAGTAGCTTTGGCTGTTTGGAGCACCAAAGTAGTTTGCCACTAATTTATCCACATTCCTGTCAGTTCTCTGAGCTTTGGATTTTGTAGAATTGCAGGTAAAGACCTGTGAAACCCTACATACCCTATATGGAGTTTCCTGAGAGGAGGAAGTCTTTAGTTCTGACAATTTCCTGTAATGGTTACAGTCATTTTTGGCCTTTGTGCAACTGGGGTAATGGGGTGTGATAGGTTAATAGGTGGGTAGGTGCATGGAGGGCTACATGTCTACATATCTTCAGATTTTATGCCTATGTTAAAAGCTAATGCTAATCGCAGCCCCAGCTGGGCAGCTCAGTTGGTTGGAGCATCATCCCTTACACCAAAAAGTTTGCAGATTTGATTCCCGTCAGGGCACATGCCTGAGTTGTTGGTTCCATACAGAGTTGGGGCAACTGATTGATTTCTCTCTCTCTCTCTCTCTCTCTCTCTCTCTCAAATCCTTAAAAACAAACAAACAAAACATATCCTCGGGGGAGGATTTAAAAAAAAAAGGTAATGCTAATGCAGATGACTAGGAAAAAATGACTAAAACATTCTAGTGAAATATAATTAAATTACTTTTATTCTCTTTAAAACAAGCCAAGACTTGCTTTGAGTATAATTATAAGGCAAACATTTAACTCTTACTATTTCTTAGTTTAAAGTTATTTGAGAACACAGAGCCATTTTTCCTTCCCTTTTCTGTAATTCAGCAATTGTTCCGCTATATGCATTTAAAAGGCCCCATCACCTGTATTTTTGGTAATCCACTTCTTAAAATGTAGTCAAATGTCCCTAATTTGAACAGATTGAAGTCAGGTCAGTTGGAAATTAGTCAGAATCACTGAGTATTTAAAAAAATAAATGCAGCTTTATTACTTTAAATTGCATCCAAAGACTCAAAGTCAGTTAAATATTTCCTGGTAAAGTCCTTGGGAGATTTGCTTTAATGAATACATAAGACTGATCTGTAATTAGTCTATCACTTGCTTGAGATTATATGCATAGACTTTTAAATCCATCAAGGATGGATGAAGGTGGCATTTTAGTAAAAATTTAAAATATTTCCTTTTCATCCAACTAACACTTTAATTTCCCTATTTCTTGGGAGTGGGGGAGAGAAGATTTGCAAAGGAAAGGTAGGCTTTAGTTTCTCAGAATGATCATAAAATGCTAAGGAGTAGAGTCCTGGTAATAATTTCTGGGGAAATGGATAGTATGTCTGCCTCAGAATTATACTGGAAGCATGAGGGGTCAGTGATGACCTTCTTTAAAAGAATTGTTTTCTTGGTTACAGGACACATAGTAATTATATAAAAATTTGAAAATATAGAGAAGTATAAAGTAAAATATATAAATTACCCATAACCACATTACCCAGAGATAATCCCTGTTAACATTAGTCACTCGTAAGCACTCTTTATAGAAAGACTAGAGGCCCTGTGCACAAAATTTGTGCGGGGGGGGGGGGGGTCCCTTAGCCCAGGCTGCACCCTCTCCAATCTGGGAGCCCTCGGGGGATGTCCGCCTGTGGGATCGGGCCTAAACTGGCAGGCGGACATCCCTCTCACAATCTGAGACTGCTGGTTCCTAACCACTCACTTGCCTGCCTGTCTGATTACACCCTAATCGCTCCCCTGCCGGCCCGACTGACGCCTAACTGCTCCCCTCCTGATTGCTCCTAACCCCTCGCCTGCCTGCCTGATCGCCCCTAACCCCTCTGCCTGCCTGATTGCCCCTAACCACTCTGCCTGTCTGATCACCCCTAACTGCTAGCCTGCCTGCCTGATCAACCTTAACTGCCTCTGCCTCGGCCCCTCACCACTGTGGCTTTGTCTGGAAGGTTGTTCGGCTGTCTAGTCTAATTAGCATATTACACTTTTAGTATAGATATTAACCCTTTGCCTGGCCTATCACTGGTAAATATTTCATCCCAGTTAGTTGTTTACTGTTTTGTCTTCTTAGCAACAAGAAATAGCATAAAAGACTTGAGCAATCTCACTTACGTGACTCCAGTGAGCCCAGCTTTGCAACTGCAGATGAAAGTATTTCCTATGGGGTCGCAGGAGCCTCCATTCCGACAAGGGTTTGGGAAGCAGGCTGTGATCTCCGATTCACAGTTTCTCCCAGTGAACTGTGAGAGACAGGAACACTGATAGCCTGGGGGAAACAGAGGACCTTATGAGCCACGGATGCTACTGGTAACACTCTGAGTGCACAGACTTGGTTATCACATGTCCTCCTAATCCTTCCGAACCAAATCAAAGGCAGATCCCAAATTCCAAAGATGATTAGTAAATTGGTTATTTTGAACTTGGAACACAGCTTTTCACAAAAATGCATGTAATGGTTTGGGTATCCCACTAGTCCTCAAAAATTCACTTCATTAACTACATGAATGCTCATGAGAATGGTAAGAGACACCCAAGGAACACCCAAGATTCCAAGAGCAGAGACCAGGATGGAGAGGGAGATGCTACTCCCACCACACTGCTATTGAAAAGGACAGGATGCTTCCAGACAGGAGTTTATCACAGGTACCATGCCCATGTCATCAGCCTCCTGAGAAGAGGTTTGTGTATAAAAGGTAAATGTTGTGAGACCTTGCATAGCTGAATATATCTTTACTTCACCCTTATGCCTCTTTGATAGTTAGGTTGTGTATGTAATTCTAAGCCAGTGGTTCTCAACCTTCCTAATGCCATGACCCTTTAATACAGTTCCTCATGTTGTGGTGACCCCCAACCATAAAATTATTTTCGTTGCTACTTCATAACTGTAATTTTGCTACTGTTATGAATCGTAATGTAAATATATGATATGCAGGATGTGTTTTCATTGTTACAAATTGAACATAATTAAAGCATAGTGATTAATCACAAAACAATATGTAATTATATATGTGTTTTCCGATGGTGTTAGGCGACCCCTGTGAAAGGGTCGTTCGACCCCCAAAGGGGTCTCGACCCACAGGTTGAGAACCGCTGTTCTAAGCAATTACCTCCATGTTACTTTTCAGAAATCCGAAGTTGTTTTGTTTCCTCGTTTATGTGTGAACTGGTTTCTCTTCATAACAGCTTGGAGTGTGTTCTCTTGTCCCCAGTTTTCTGAGATTTCACAATGATGTACTTCAGTGTGGGTTTCTTTCAATCGGTACTCAGTCGGCCCTTGCAATTTGGAAACTCTTGTCCTTTAACTTTGGGAAATTTTATTTATCACATTGACAATTTCCTTTCCTCTGTTCTCTCTGTTCTGTCTTTATAGAACTTTTGTGGTTTTCTTTTTCAAGCTCAGATCTTTTGGATCTTGCTTGAATTTGGTCTGTCTCTCTTATATTACATCCCTGTGGGTTTTTGCTTTATTTTCTAAAAGTGTTTCTCAACTTTTGTGAGATTTTCATTTATGTTGTCATTTTCCAAGGGCTCTTTGTTTGCTGAGGTTTTCTCTTTTTTTAAAAAAAAACACATTGCACCCTGCTCCTATTTTGTGCTTGCCATATTTTCTCTTATATCTCCAAAGATATTAATAACATTTTTATGAAGTTTTCTCCCAGCATAGTTTCCTCCAAGTTGCTTTTCTCTGCTTCTGTGTTTTGGTCTCTGTGATGGTAAATTTTATGTGTCAGACTGACTAGGCTATGGAGCCAAGTTGTTGTCAAACACTATTCCAGACGTTGCTATGAGGGTATCTGTGGAGGTGATTAACATTTACAATCAGGTGACTTAAAGGCAAGCAGATTGCCCTCCAAATGTGGCTGGGTCTTGTCCATTCAGCTGAAGGCCTTCAGAAGAAAGGATTCTGCCTCGGAGTACAATATAGAAATCTTGCCTGGGTTTCCAGCTTTGAAGATTTCAAATTCAAGACTGCAAAATCAACCCTTACATAAATTTCCAGGCTACTGGCCTTCCCTATAGATTTCAGACTTGACAGCCCCCACAATCCTAGGAGCAGCTTTCTTAAAATCCATCTGTCCGTCTGTCCGTCCGTCCATCCATCCATCCATCCATCCATCCATCCAACCATCCATTCAATTGGTTGTTTCTCTGGAGAACCATAATAAAAATTCTCTGTCTTCCAAATTAGAGGAGTTCCTTCCTTTTCTGGTAATCCTGGCTTATCAGCTCACATTGAAGAGTGGAAAGGTAAAAACTAGAAATCTGAGGGGAAGTCTAAGCACTTGAGTGAGCCTTAACATGATACTGTGTCAGTACCTTTGAGGTGGTCAATTTCCCTACAAATTACCTTTATCATCTTCACAGAGGGAGGTTCAAAGGCCTGTTTTTAACATGGGATGGGGGGGGGCTGGGTGGTGGTAGAGGAAGGGTGGTCGTGGGTCTCAGCATCCACTGAGTACATCATAATTACTTACTCCATAAACCCTGCAAATAACCATCCTCACTAACTTGAAGGGCTCTTGGGCTAATCTCTGCTCCCCCAGTGGTCAGTGACTGATGTTGGGATTGTGTAGGTTGATCTCTAAAGGTATAAGATAGTTAATAATCTTTTGATGGAAACAGCACATGCTCTCATCAACATTTTTCTGAATCCACACTACAGAGAGCTCTCCTGAACAGGAGGACATTATGATTGTGTGTGAGTGTTCATCGTTCAGAGAGAGAAAGACTCATCTTCAGGAGGCAAGAGAGCACTTTACATTCTAACAAGGAGGGAACTCCCAGCTTCGCTGGCACCAAGAAACACAGAGACGGAGGCTCAGAGAGACACACTCCTAAATGCAACACCGATGAAATTCCAGGGAACTAACTTATAAGGAAAGACCATTCCTGATGCAAACTGTGTCTGCGGATGGCCAGCGTGAAGTCTGAGGGCAGGTGCAGTGGGCTGAGATATGCTTGCTTCAAATAATGCTGACGTGGGATTATTCTTTTCCAATTTGGAAAGTTTTCACCTAAATGGAACTGAGGGTTGCTGAAAGCAGTTGGGACTGGGGAAAATGCTTCTTTGTGTCACCTGGCTACTCCTTTACACCACAGCAATCACTAACTGCTACACATCAGGGCTTTTATTTTTAGAGAGCTGGCTTACCAGCACTCCTTGGCCAGGATAGCGTGCCATTTAGAGGTAGAGTAACGTGTGAGGATGAACTAGATTCCTTTTTTAGACTAACAGGAGGGGTGGGACAGCTGCAGTACAGGATTCTGGAAAGCACATCGCTGGTGAGGAAGAGGGGAAGTCACAAAGGGGCAATCTAAGGCAAGGGGGTCAGCTCAGGCACCACTCCTCCCTCTCCAGCTCCTTTTTCGCACCATTCTGGCAATTGCTCAAATAAAATACAGCAGAAGTAGTAGGTAGCAAGGGAAAGACAAGGAGGGACTGTCTGGAAAACAGAGACATTTGAATCACTATCAGGGAAACTGGATTCTAACAAGGGTCGTGGGTTTGATTCCTTTGATTTGATGTCTCTGAGCCCTGGAAAATCAGACTTTAAAACGAGGCCCTACCTCTAGTGCACTATTTTACGCCCACACATTTCTTTCTGCATTTTGTCAGTTTCATGATCTTTTGTGGGCTCTCCAGTGCTACCTGATGCAGCAGCCAGCCTGGCTGATTAACCCATTCACTGCCTGAGTGCCTAAGCAATAGGCCGTGGTGTGTTGGGGCCAGCTCAGGCAGGGCGCGAGAGCTGACTGTTAACATTTGGGGAATTTGGCAGGCCCGTTACTAAACAACGGGTAGCCTGGCATCAGCCAAGGTGGGAGTATGTACACCACAGAAATCAGTAAATGCTACAAATCAGGGCTTTTATTTTTAGAGAGCTGGCTTACCAGCACACCCCTGGAAGAGGGACTATGGCAGGCCCTGGGAAGACAAAGACAGGAAAATTACAGACAGCATGAGCACTCAGATAGCTCCAAAACTGCCCTGAGAGCAGGCACAGGGCGCAATGGGAGCACAGAGTGGGGACCTTGGGCCTGCGCTGGAAAAAACATGCACGACTGGGGAGCTCTGTTCTGCATCTGAGAGAACTTGCTGTCCATTTTGAAGATGATGATGATGACGGTAGCTAACACATGACCCTTACTATGTGCTAAGTAATTCTAAGGACTTTACATATATATTAACTTATTTAATTCTCCAAAAATGCCTATGACAAAGGGACTATTATCATCCCCATTTTATAAAGGAGGAAACTGGGGTACAAGAAGTTGATGACTTATTCACAGCCATGGACCCAGAGTGGATTTGAACAGGGGCAGTCTGCCATCAGAGGCCTGAACTGTTCAGTATGATCTTGAACATACATCACACTTCATTACACCCTCTACCTGGATTTCTCTGTTTAGCTAACAGGAAACTGTGTCGGATCTGCTCTCATGATCTCAAACCCCTGGGACAAAGGAGAGACCTTTTGGAAGAAATCTCGATTTTTAGAACTTTAAATTTGGAGGAGTTCTTATGTTAACACAATGAGAGGGAAAAGCAATTAGATTTTTTAAAAAGTGGTCAGATTTTTTTTTTTAAATGAAAGAAGAGTGATCTATTGTTTGGCTGTATGAGAGAGGCTTGTTTATCAAAATTAACTTGTTCTCACAAAGTGTTATTTACGATCTCATTATCTCAGCCTGGGCACTATTATTAATAATTTTTATAATATCAGTAAGTCTGCTATAATGATACCAAGTTATCTAATGCTTTACTGCTTTTAAATCACTTTCAGTCATTCTATGGAGGATAATAATAATCCGAAGAAGGAAAAATAAGAGGCCCATTAACATCCCAACTCCATGGGGTGTTAGACAGGTTAGTGGCTTGTTCAAGGACATACAGCTAGTAAGTGATTGAACTTGAATCCAGGCTTTCAGATTCTCTAATCTTTCTACCAGACTGTATCGGCATTGGGACTTGTCAGTGAGCCAGAGCTCATTACTTGCTAGGAATAAGAAGGAGGGGCTCGGAGTTACTCCCCACAGCTCTCCAGGGAGCTGATGAGCCACACTGAGATAAACAGTATCAGGCACCCTTTCTGGGAGCCAAATAATCATTAAATAATAAAGATAATGGCATAATAAAGTTTCTCCTCTTCCCAAGCGTTACCATATGTTATTATAAAACACAAATAAAAACAGAATTTCAAGAGATATCCGGGCATTATTTGATCACACATTATTTTCATTTTTGTAAATGTAAAAGAAAAATAA